GTTTCTTTATAGTGGCAGATGTACTCCCTTGATTGGTGACTATGGTTTCTTTATAGTGGCAGATGTACTCCCTTGATTGGTGACTATGGTTTATTTATATTGGCAGATGTACTCCCTTGATTGGTGACTATAGTTTCTTTATATTGGCAGATGTACTCCCTTGATTGGTGACTATGGTTTCTTTATAGTGGCAGATGTACTCCCTTCCTTTTGATTGTTATTGTTTATATACTTTGATGACAGATGTTTTTGAACAAACGGTGAAAAAAGATATTTGATAAAGATGCTCCTACTAAAGGGATACTCAGTATCATAAATATGAATGATCGGCACTTGTGCATTGTCCAACTTTATTAAACTCAGTATCATATGTCTTTGAAAACTGAAGAGATCCTTAACCTTGCATATTAAGTAACAGATATGATTATATTTCTAATTTATAGGACTCAAATTATCACATTGTACATCGCATAGCAGTTTGTTTTGCATACGCAAATAAATAAAGTGGTCTAAAAATGTGTATATGAGGGACCTAATATAGTGGTCGGTCAGCGTACATAGAAATTTTCAAAAGAAGAATATTGGAAATAAAGATCTAAAACTTTATACAAATTGCCATATAAATGATCAGAGAAAGTAAACTATCATTCCCTTGCATTGCTATAGGTTAAATGATCAATTCTGTTACTGTACTAAGCCCCCCCCCCCAGTGGCACAGCGGTATGTCTGCGGACTTACAACGCTAGAATCCGGGTTTCAATACCAGTGGTGGGCAGAGCACAGATGGCCCACTGTGTAGCTTTGTGCCTAATTACAAACAAACAAAACAAACAACTTCAAAAATTTAGTGCTATGTACGTGATAGTCATCAGAAGAAAACGTACTTTTTAACACATTCTTATTTCTTCGATGTGCGTTTCTCTTGAAGTATCTAAAAATGGGAGACTTCGTAGATTTTGTTAGACAGCATGGAACTTCATTATCGAAGCTGGCGTATAAATCTGTCTGCCTTTGTTATCATTTAAAAACCATCAATCAGATTAGAATGCAATTTTCATGCATACAGATGGCGCAAAAAAAACCTTACTGTACAGAAGAAATGCATTTCCTGACAGCAAACTCCATCCACATGATACGCAGTCAAAATAAACGTAAATGAGAACGAAGCTCAAACTCAAAGGGATTTATTTCATTGTGGAAATTGCTGCTGTCAACGTTCCTGCAAATGACTGAAAAAACAACAACAATACATATACCCATTGTACTCAGACTCTAATCATTCTTAAGCCACTCTGTATATATGTATAGTTCATAGTACTACAATTGGCTACATTTTTATAACATTGTAGAAAGTAATCAGTTTCAAAATTATCATTTTGTGAAACATTCAAAATAATGTGTCAAGATCTTACCCAAAAATTCCAGTAGAATTGCAAGAACATGCAACGACGGAAGCTTTTTTGGTGATCTTTGGGGTAGTGGAACACCCTTCAGCTGTCCAATTCATACTGGTAAGGTCTAATCTTCCACACTTTAAAACAACATTACATATAATATACAGGAAATCTGAAGATAATATATGCATTAAAAAAGAGAGAGAGAGAACTGAACCATAGTAGTAAAAACATGTTTTTTCACTTCCACAAATTTTAAGTTCGTTATTTTTGCGTTTGGTTTATAGTGGAATCAAAGCCAATTTGTGAGGAACTGCCCAAGTTAAATATATTAACATAAAAGCTCCTTTGTAGGACATCCGCTGAGAACAAAAAAAATTCATGATGCTCAGATGTGTGTATATATATATATATTTAAGACCTGAAAACAGTTATATGTAATATAACTCTCCTTATACCTATATTTATATAGAGAGTTATAATAACACATTAAGGTTAAAAATTCTCACTCAACAAAGCCAAGGCATTGATAATAAAAAAACAGATTCATAAAACTAGTGTAACTGCTGTTAAAGAAACAGAATTATAAAAGTTTAAATATTACAGGCCATTACAATCGAACCACAGGGAATAATTACACAGGCCTGCGATGGTTTTATTGTCTTGAAATTTTTACATGTTTTAGAGTAATTCCTGTACGCTGAATCCGAAAATGGTATCCATTTTTCTTCATCACGTACAGATTTTTCACAAAACGTAATGTTATACTTTTACATTAGTGAATCATTTTCATTGAAATCGGGTCACATTTTGTCATGCTTAAAATGTTGACAACCACTGGCTACAGATTTCTTTGGACCAATCGCGACGTGAGAGTCTTATCGGTCGTTCTAGAACCCAAACATAATAATAATAAAGAATGTTCATTGTGGTAAACGAAATAATAATTTGATCTAAGTAAAAGTGTTTATTTCTTCCCGATTTGTAAACAAATCCTTACGTGATAGAAAAAATTTAAATTATTTTCTAAATCTGCGTAGCTGTCCGTTATTGAAACCATAACAACTTTTATGAAGTTTAAATTCGCAGGCCTATGTAATTGTAACATTTATCTCCTGAAGTTCGTATTGCATTTTCCATAACAGTCGCATACCTTTATGAACAGTAAAATAAAACGTATCATATGTAGGATAAAACTCACTACTGTTATAAGAACGAAAAATGAAATCTTATCTCCAACTTCCCCCCCCCCCTCCTCCAAAAGCATCAAAGAAAAAACAATAGCAGTTTCCCTCCAAATTAAAGTTATAATGTTTACACAACAAAAATATGAATTTTACTATTTAAAGGACTTTAAAGAAAACAGGGCGTTATACAATCTTACCGTAAACAACAGTTTTTCAAAGAATAAAGCAAATAAAAAGGAAGCTTCGCACATAAAAAAAAGGCAGTCAAAAATAGACTACAAATTACAATGTAGGAATGGTCAAATGTACTTTAATAAGAGAGGTATCTGAAGAAATATGACAAACACAGTGGTGGTGATAACCTGTC